ACAAGTTAGTATGTTGTGCCAGGATTTAGTCTTGTAACTCAATACAGTTGTCCATTTCGGAATGTGTTTTGCTTTTCACTTTAAGTATATATATATATATATATATTTAAATATGTATTCAGAGTTTTCTTTACTCAGCCCAAGTATGTTTCCAACTGTGGCTATTATAGTAATTGCCTTTTATGTATACATACACACACATATATATATACACAAACACATGTATATATACTAACGGCTAGATGCTCACCTGTGGTTCCGAAAGTCGTGGGTTCTGTTCCTAGCGGGGGCCGAACTTTTTTCAAAAATGACCTTGGCTCCCATGTCGACCCAGCCTTGAGTGGGTACCACGTACGGTTCTGGGAAGTAAAGGCAGTCAGTGTGATGCTGACCGCATCACCCACCTAGTTCTGTTTGGTCTTTAAAATATACGTCTAGCCCTATATACCCAATACGCCTGAAATGTGTGTAAGAGGGTCCTTTACTTTTTACCTATGTATATATGCCTGTCTCAAGGTTATTATTCAAATTGTATTGTTAGATTTGGTATCAAGAAATAAATTAACACAAACTATAACTAGAAAACTTAATGAGAGAAAAGAAAAAGACATGCAAAGTTACACTCAACTGTTTTGACTAAAGTTTTTATCAGAGAATAAAACAGTGGGAATCATAAACCACAATAACTAGTGGAAAGTCACATAGGGAAATAGTAATAAAATATAACTGAAGAATAGGAACAGGAGGAGCAGCGGCAAAACAAAATTATGTTAAAGGCATTTCATTGATGTTAGTGTATAGCTATGTGGCTTAGAGAGGTTAGTGAGCATGTTCCCCAATCCTTGATGTACTAGGGTTTGATTACAGCGGGAGCTGGTTTACAAAAACATTGTTCTAATGGCTTTCAGTCAGCAGGATGAGAGTTGCACCATGGAAGAGATTATGGATATGGCCTCAGCACTTCATATTCCCTAAGGCAGCAGTGGGTTTACTGAAGCAGACATTCATTGTAATGTATTTATTTAGATGTAAGAAGTATTTGGTTGCTGTGAATTGTTGGTCTGTACGAATAATGGCTTCAGAAAATGTTTTTTTTTTTTTTTTTTAATTCTTTCATAATATTTTTAGCAGTTTACTTCTTCTTCTTCAGCATTACAAGCCATTGAGGTTCATTGCTGCAGATATCATGTGACTGCATTCATCTCTTTGATTAGCCTTCTCTTTTCAGTTGCTGACTGTAAGTAAGTCCAGTGTTGGTAGGTTTGCATGTATTCTGTCTCTCCACCATCTTCTTGGTCTGTCCAGTGGTCTGCTCACATTTAATTTTTTTGTGTTCACAGTTTTGGTCTCTCTATTGTCTGTTACTCTCTCTATATATATATTCCAGCCATTGCAGTCTATTAGCCTTCATGATTCTTTTTAGTTAGATTTACAAAATATTATGAATTTAATTGCTTCATTATGTAAACAATGTTACTTTTAAACAAATAAGTCTTCTCCCTGGAAGTGAGCTATGGAGGGACAATAGACAGTGCCAGCCTTTAAGCTTTAAGCCATCAACTAATCCTCCCCAGAACAGCTTGCAGCCAAAACCAAATCAAAGTGGCAGAAGTTGTAAAATGGTTTGTGCATACATTATTTAACTCTTTCAGTACCAGAAGGTTTTATAGGAGATTCCAAAAAGCGATGAAAAAAAAAAATCATGAATGCATTACTTTTAAATTGGCAATATACAAAGTGATAGTGACCATTTACGAAAGCCAGATTTCTTTAGTGAGTTGTGACCAAAAATTGAAAAATTACAAAAGCACATTATGCTATGGATGATAATTATCGGAATAATTATCACGTGAATCAGGCATTGCATGGGATTGAAAGAGTTAAATAGATGGGGAAATGCACCCATCTCTGCACTGGAGTGCAGGTTACTTTCTAATTGTTGAGGTGTCCTGTTTTATGGTTGAACAGGGTTTCTCTGAATTGCTCCTGTGTGATTCTCATCTTTGAGGTGTTAATTGTACAGACAGCAATCCGGGATGCGAACAGTAACCTGCCTATCTGAGAAATAAACACCTTATTAAAACAGTTTTGGGCATATATCAAGAATGCACCAGACATTTGACACAAAGTTTACAATACAGGTGTTGCAGAGGACCTTGGAAACAAAATCGGGGAACAACAGGATAGAGCTTCAAGATTGTGACTAAGGGAAATTAGAACAGGAATTCAGTTTTCTTCTTCTTCTGCCTTTCTAGCCCCCAATGGAGCATAGGCCCTTAACCAACTCACGCCAAATCTTTCTATCCTTTGCTATTTCATCCAGCTCTCCCCATGTCCTCCCCATCTTTCAAACTTCATTATCCAGCTCCCTTCTCCATGTTTTTTAGCCTTTTTTTATTCCTATGCCACCTGTGGGTTCCAATGCAAAGACATTCTAGTTATATTGTTCCCTGGTTTTTTTAATGTGTCTTATCCAATGCCAGCGTCTTTTCTTCACCTCTTGGTCCACTGGAGCTTGCTTAGTTCTCTCCCAAAGCTCTTCATACAGGTTTATATATAGATAGATATATATATATATTATAAACATACAATTGTCTAGGCAAACCACACAATAGCCACTAAATACCAGAGTTGGTTTCTAAAACTAACTTTAATGTTAAAATGATATAGGATATTTAATTAATGCATCGAAAATATATAGCAAGTTCTAGTATACTTTTTAAATGTGTAAATATGTAGTCTTAATTTTCCAGCTTTTCCTAAATAAACTGCCTTAAATGATAGCAGTAATTTGTGCGCTTGTGCTTTCAGTGTTATTAACCTGATACTTTTGCCTGCTTGACCGAACATTCTGCTACACAGTGCTTATTATACCACTTCAAATTTCCCACAGCAACTTTGCTGTCTTCAAAGATGTATATTTACTTGTTACATTGTATTCTATTCCATGGTGAACAATAAAAGAGAATGAACCTATACTGTTGTAATAATTCCTTTTTTTTTTACATGACTCAGTCATCATCATCATGTGCTGCCCTTTGCCTACAGACACTGTTCCATGCCTTTATTGTCCTAGATTCTTTTGGGCTGTATTGGGTTTATAAGTAACCTCTGGGCTCACAATCTTAAATGATTCAGTCATTATAATCATCTGCTGCCTACATACACTGTTATCTGACTACAGACACTGTTCCCTGCCTAATACACTGTTACCTGCCTACAGACACTGTTCCCTGCCTAATTCACTGTTCCCTGCCTACATACACTGTTCTGATAGATGAACAACAATCATATGCCATGCTACTAAGTGTTGGCAGTTATGAATCCTCCAGTATAGGCTGTGTGAACAAAGTGCAGAGCATGTTCTACATGACTGTTTCTAGCATAGCCTGTTTAAAGGGGAGTGCTGGCCTAATCAACTTCTTCATCAATCTTTTCTGTTAGAAACCTTATATCGGGAGGCCAGTAGTCTTGATAAAAGCTATGCTGCAGTCCAGCCAGTAGTAATGATTTAAGCTATGCTGCAGTCCAACCAGTAGTAATGATTTAAGCTATGCTGCAGTCCAGCCAGTAGTAATGATTTAAGCTATGCTGCAGTCCAGCCAGTAGTAATGATAAAAGCTATGCTGCAGTCCAGCCAGTAGTCTTGATAAAAGCTATGCTGCAGTCCAGCCAGTAGTCTTGATTTAAGCTAAACTACAGTCCAGCCAGTAGTATTACTTTAAGCTATGCTGCAGTCCAACCAGTAGTAATGATAAAAGCTATGCTGCAGTCCAGCCAGTAGTCTTGATAAAAGCTATGCTGCAGTCCAGCCAGTAGTCTTGATAAAAGCTATGCTGCAGTCCAGCCAGTAGTACTGATTTAAGCTAAACTACAGTCCAGCCAGTAGTATTACTTTAAGCTATGATGCAGTCCAGGCAGTAGTACTGATTTAAACTATGCTGCAGTCCAGCCAGTAGTACTGATTTAAGCTAAACTACAGTCCAGCCAGTAGTACTGATTTAAGCTATGCTGCAGTCCAGCCAGTAGTACTGATTTAAGCTAAACTACAGTCCAGCCAGTAGTACTGATTTAAGCTAAACTACAGTCCAGCCAGTAGTATTACTTTAAGCTATGATGCAGTCCAGGCAGTAGTACTGATTTAAACTATGCTGCAGTCCAGCCAGTAGTACTGATTTAAGCTAAACTACAGTCCAGCCTGTAGTACTTACTGATTTAAGCTATGCTGCAGTCCAACCAGTAGTCCTAATATAAGCTATGGTGCAGTCCAAACCTCCTTGTATGTCAAATAATTTCGCTTTTTGTAAATGTTATCAATCATAGCTAAATATTAAATACAAGCATTGAAATGTGCTCAAATGACACTTACATTTGTAACCACAATAAACCATAGTAAAGTAAAGTAACAGTCAAGGACACTTTTTTTATGCATTTCAGGCGTATTGGGCATATAGGGCTAGGCCTTTATTTTATAGACCAAACGGCACAAGATGGGTGATGTCGTCAACATCATGCCATTCTCCTATACTTCCCAGGACTGCACCTAGTACCCACTCAAGGCTGGGTCGACCTGGGAGCCAAGGTCATTTTTGAAAAAAGTCTGGCTCCACCAGAGAGCGAACCCAAAACCTTCTGATTCGCAGGCTATTGTCTAGTTGCTCCGCCACGGCGACTCCCACAATAAACCATAGTAATTATAATAAATCTAGGCAACATATATGCTATTTCTAATCTTCTTTAATCTTTAAAGGCTGCGCATCATTTGTGTTCAGATAACATTTGAATAGTTTCTGACTGTATGTGTAGGATCTAGTGGTATGTTTGATTCGTTGTCAAGATGGTTCCACAGTTGAGCTGTAGAGTTTTCTTAACTTGTTTTATACAGGCAACTGGATCTGGCGTGAGGAGTTGAAACAAATGTAAACAACCCAACCAGTTTGAGATGAGTCAGTTGGTACTGAATCAGTTAAAAAAATATTATAGAGAAAAATAACCAGAGTTTACGGGACTCTGTGATGTAAAAGGGAAGTAGGCCAGTTGGGATGTATACTGTACTCCCCTCGTCTCAACTTAGTGTGAATGCATGGGTTCTTTGTACATGCTTCTTTTTTACTAGCACTTCTCACTGGTTGAAGTTCCTTGCTAGGGCTTTGACAGTTTCTAGCTGAAGGTTGTTGCATCACTTTAGAGATTGCCTCATTTTCTGAAACATTCGTAAAATAATTCATCACAAATGCGAATTAATGTTTAAAATGTATCGTTTAATTTTTTTAAATACTGAGCATGGCGGACCATGACCTTGACTCCCAAGTCGACCTGACCTTGAGAGGGTACCGGGTGCAGTCCCGGGAAGTAAAGGTGGCCGGCACAATGCTGACCACATCACCCATCTGGTGCCGATTGGTCTATAAAAATATAGGTCTAGCCCTATATGCCCTATACGCCTAAAGGTGTGGAAAAGGGACCTTTACTTTACTCTTTTACTACTGAGCACACTGAAAATTACTTTACAGTAACAATTAAATACAATCAAAGATGAACTTAACATAAACACACTCTTACAGTCAAGATGAACTTCACAAAAACAGAGTCTAATGCAATCAAGATGAACTTTACATAAACACAATCCAGTCAAGATGAACTTTACATAAACACAATCTTACAGTCAAGATGAACCTTACAGAAACAGAATCTAATGTAATCATGATGAACTTTACAGAAAAACAATCTAAAACAACTTAAAGTTGAGATAAACCTTACAATTAAAATGAACTTTTCAGAAATAATCGAGCACTACCAAGATGTGGTATTTTTAAAAAAAGTTAAATAAATACCACACATATAAACATACATACTATGTACTTTGTGTGTGATGGTGGCGGCGGCATTTGTGTGAGATAAAAAAGAAGAAAGAGCAAGAGACAGAGAGGAAGTGAGTGAATGAAGCACACACTGGTGTGACTGAGTGGCTCAGTATCCACAATATGCTCAGAAGTCACAAAATGCAATTCCTAGCATAGTGGCAGAGTTTATAAAAAAAACATGCTGGTTCAAGAAACAGATAAAAAGAGTAGACTAATTTGAGGTTTTAAAAACGGATCAACATCATGGCACACGGGTAGTAACCCATAAGTGCTCCGTTCTTCCTCTCAAGTCCGAGTCTAAAGAAGTTCAGCATAGTGACAGGCTCTGTAGCACCGGCAAGGATCCTGAAATACTTTGGGTAGATTTTTAAGTCAAAATTTTTTGCCTGGGCAGTGCCGTTAGGCTACACTTTTCAATTTCCAACTGTCAATGGATTTTTTACATGCGCAACAATACACACGGGCGTCCGATCTCATTACCCAGAGACCAGGAGGAATTACTAGAAGTCCAAGTTCCACGTGAAAAAATCCCAGCCCTTACAGGGGATTGAACCTGGAACCTCTAGCACTTGAGGCAGACATCATACCTTGAGAACATGCAGCTCCCTAAATTTGAGAAATCAGACACAGCAGTGAAAATTTTTCAGGTATGGCTTGGCCCTAAGTTATAACCAAGTCAAGAACACAAGTTATGATCATGCTTACCTTGTTGAAAATGATGGCAACTGATTAAATGTTGTCTCTAGCGTGTTTTCAGATGTTTATCATTACCAGATAAACGTGAAGACAAAAATTAGGGGTCTGATATACAAGTCTAGGACCCTTTTCCATGCCTTCAGGCGTTTTGGGCATATATGGTTAGACCTTTATTATAGACTAACTGGCATTCGGTGGGTGATCTGGTCAACAACGCGCCGACCACTTTTACTTCCCAGTATTTTAACTGTTACCTATTATAGGCTGGGACGACCTGGAAGCCAAAGTAATTTTTCTTTAAAGAAAAAGTCTGGCTTCCATCAGGACCCAAACCCAAGACCTTCTGATTCACAGGCGAGCATCTAGTCGCTACACCAGGGCGGCTCCCCCTGATATGCAAGTGCTCATTTAAAAAAACCCAGACAAGTCGAACACCTTGTATAGAGGAAAAGAACACCTTGTGAAAACATGCAATTTCCACTACATGGCATTGGGCCCAATGGCGAAAGCTCATGCACCATTGGATCAATAACAACAACTACAACAACAAAAACCCCATGGCAGTTGGAAATTACAACAGGTGGGGTTTTAGGCCTCTGTCTTGACACAGTGGTTAGGAAAGATAACTGCACTGGCAGGCAGATATAGTCCACTACCTTGCCCTAAATCTGGTTAGTACAGCGTTTTTTTTAACACTTTTTCAAGTAGCACAAACATATGCAAAATCCTTAGTCCCCCCCCCCCCCTTTTTTTTTTCAATTTAAAAAAAAATGTGATTTTAAAGAGGAGACCAATCATAAAATACCAAGCACTATAACAAGAACTTTCCTAAAAGAATCCAGATAAATAAGACTGTCAAATAACAGAAAAATAAAATCTTTAATTAAATACATGTACTGTCCTATTAGAATTTGAATGGTAGATGTACAAACTGCTCATGACAACAAAAACCTCCTTGGCTTTTTGTTTTATAATTAGTTTTTTAAAAAAAAACCTATTGTATTTATAATTAAACAGAACAAAACTGTTAGTATAACAGAATATTACAAGTACAAATGGACTCAATTTTAACACTGCTTGATGCCCCCTTACATCCCCAAGGATGAAAGCCACTGATCTAGAAGAAGCAAATTTTACAGAAATGCTTGCCAAAATCAGACACACTAACTGTGTTAGAGGCATAAGCTGACGTGGGACGATCCCTGGATGGCAACAAAGAAGAAACAGAAAATAAAAAGGGAGGAAGAGCAAGAAAAACAGAAAAAGGCAAGACAGCAGCAGCAAATGTTTCAGTTAAGATTTTCTTAACCCACTCTCCCACTCTTTTTTTTCTGTGAAAAGAGAAAAGTATTTCAACTGACCTTCAGCTCCACACATTTTCATCCATCTGTGTAATGATGGATAAGCACTTTTTGGGCGGGCTGTGTTGTTCTGTGCAGAAATATAGACAGTCTTTAAGCTTATATTTTCGTATACAAATGTAATACTAATACTTCTCCTATAATATTATATGACAAAAGCCAAAAAAGCCCGGTTATTTTAAGTATATTGGTTAGTTAGTCGACAGATTATTCTTGCTGCACATAAAACCATTCAGTCCACAGAGCTCAGTAAATCCTGCAGCATGTAGCGGCTCATGATACCAGTCATGTGTCAGTTTCTTATTCTTTGGCTTCCTGCACAGTGCTCTTGTCTGGCCACACCTCTTTTAACACACTGTTCTTGCAGTATGGTCATGGTTGCAGATTCACAGTCATCACCTGGTTCTCGCAAACGCCTAACTTCTCGTAGAGTATTCAGTATATTAGCATGGCACATGGCATATCTGTCTGCCACGTAGCTTGACCTGCAAGCCTGTCAGTTTGCTCATTTCCTTGTACGCCTGTGTACCCTGGCACGAAAATAAAACTGTCAAGTTTCACTGTATTTTAAGTATATTTCTGTCCAATCAATCATTACGTGACATGAAAACTTGCCATCAACAATGAAAGGTGAAAACTAATGAGGTGTTCCATTAGGATTATAACTCAGCTTTGTCAGACCATGCCCCAAGTGTGCAGTTAAACACTTTTCCATATCAGATGAAGACCTTAGATTGACTGAGGTTCCTAGTGCAGGTTCCAGGGCCCCATTTTGCAAAATTTGACTGTTTCCTTTGAAGTTGGAGTACATGAGCCTGAGAGGCGAGGAACCAACAGTCTGCATACAAATAAGCCAGAAATGAAAACAGATGTTTTAGAAACACCAAAATCCAGAAGTGGATGAACAACCAGAACTTTCCGCCTGAGAATACAGCTAGTGAATGCTGAGAAGAATAAGAAGATTGAAGGAATTTATTCTCTTTATACCAGTTGACTTTGTTATCGTTGTACGCTCTGCTTGAGGTATATTCGGCCTATCATGCATCAAAGTTTGAATGAACAAGTCTACTTCACAACTTTCTCCATCTAACTTTGGATAAATCTGAAAAACATATATTTTAATTAAATTTGAGGCTACAAGTCGTAAATCATATTGACATACATGTAGAAGTCTGCTTGGCAGCCACACTGTCTTCAAACAAACACCTAATAACTTTGAAAACTTTGCAGACATACTATAAACTGTCTTCAAACAAACACCTAATAACTTTGAAAACTTTGCAGACATACTATAAACTGTCTTCAAACAAACACCTAATAACTTTGAAAACTTTGCAGACATACTATAAACTGTCTTCAAACAAACACCTAATAACTTTGAAAACTTTGCAGACATACTATAAACTGTCTTCAAACAAACACCTAATAACTTTGAAAACTTTGCAGACATACTATATTTTAGGCTTTTAACCACGTTTCCAAATAAAACTAATGGTCAACACACGTGATATTGAATACAAAGAACCGGAAAAGAAGTTTCAATTGTCCAGTTCACATTTTTGTACAAGTCAGTGGTGAATTAAAAACCTGTACGTGCCACATGCCGATTGGGCAGCCGGGTAGTTACCAAATAGCGGGTGGTACTTTCCTTGGGACTCAAATAGTTAATGTTACTGAGAGCTAACTTTACAAAGACTCTTGGACATTACAGACAACAGTAATTCCTCTGCCATTGTTACAGTCAGTAAGATTACCTTTCTTGGATTGTTAACAATTATTCCTTTCTTCCATTCAGTTTGGATTTTTCCTCTGCTAATAATCTATTATACAAATCTGTCACTCGGTTTATGGTCAGATCTTCTGCTGTATTGAGCATTTCTGCAGTAATATGATCATCACCTGCCGCCTGACTGTTTGCTAATGAACGGATTGCCTCCCTCATTTCAATGACATTTATCTGCCCTACATTTATTGGTAATATGATATCGCAAAATCACAACCTGCGAGATGAGATGCCTCAGAAAAGCAGCCAACCTAACCGTCCGAGATCAAGTGAATAATGAAACTATCAGGCAAATTGTGAGAACGACACTTTGTACTAGATTCATCGAGAAACAGCAGATCAAGTGGTTTGTCCATCTTGTTAGAATGTAGCAAAATCAAATACCATCACAAGCACTACAATCTCAGAAAATCAGCTACAAGAGCAAGAGGACAGCAGCGGAAGATATAGATTGACAACATTAAAGACACTACACATTCACGGCATGACTATAGCCGGTGGCAGCCAGCGTGCACTGGATCGCAAATTATTCCTCCCCATGCGCTTAATGGCGGAAGTGATTAACAATGATGATGACGATGATGATAACTGTAGTCTCTTCATTAAAGTTTTTTGGTTCATAGTCTAGGTCTACATAAGTCTCTTGGAAGCGTTCTGCCCATTTTGTCTTCTGCTTAGTATAAGATGTAAGCATTATTCCTTACTTTAAATAATAGGAGTCAGTCAGTCAGTAGCATGTCCTTTGCAGAACTTTGCTCCCATAACAACCCTCTGGAAAACTTCTCGATCCCAAGCAAGATGTCCCGCGTCCGATACACCCATCTGGAGATCATCCACCACATCCTGCACCCATCTTCTCTTTGGCCTTTTCTTTCTATCTTTCCAGGCATATACACTCTCCATTATTGTTCTCTTCAAACGTTTGTGATGTTTCCAATGACCACAATATTTCAATTTTCTGTGTTTTAAAAATAGGAGTGCTTACTATGAATTTCAGATTGTGTAACTAAATTTGTGCTTAGTGGAAAAAAGAGAGAATTATCCAGCCCTAGGAATAAACTCACAGGGAGCAAGTACAGCAGGGATCTACCAGTCATCAGTAGAAGTTATCCTCGTCGACAAGTGTTTCGGCCCACGATTCTCCTAGACACTTTCGGAGGTGGGCCCACCTGAGTTCATGAAACTCAGGGCTGGTACCCTGCTGCACGAAATTACCGCATGGTGTTTTTCTTTCGGATAGGGACAAGACGACTTGGTGGTTTGCAGAAGGTACTGTGAGATAAGAAGTCGTCACGGCAGCCTAATTAAAGCAGTCAGCATACCTGGACGACCGAGCGACAAGCTTACGATTGGTATACCGGACACATGTTGAACTTTTGTTAGCAGGTGGCAGAGGATCACTGGCAGACAATTCGGACACGATGGACTTTCAAGGGGTGAGAAACCCTTTTCCGCTATACACCCGGACCAGCTCATTGAGGCCCGTCCCCTACGTTGTTGCGTTGCGTCCAAAGCCAACTCGAGGCCCTTTCGGCTGCCTCGCCCAGTTTTTAAGTGTTCGTTTCCGTTCATTACCGCGCAATCCTAGTTCTTTAATCACATTGTATAGTGAAGTGGAGATGAGACCTCTCACTCCCACTTCGACGGCAAAGACACATACCGTGTACGCCTCGTCTCTCCTCAGACCGGCTGCTAAATCACCGTATTTCTCGAGCTTGTACGTGTGATTTTCGTCCAAACGCGACTCATACGGGACGGTGAGCTCAATCAGGATAAGCTGCTGTTTCTCCGCAGAGTGGAGAACTATGTCAGGTCGCAGGCCGGTCTTCCGGATTAATTCGGGGTACCTTTCATGGCCTGGCAGATCAACCGCCAGTAACCAGTCCCTCGCAGAGTCTAGCATAGATGGAGCGAATGCGTTTCGGTTGACCTTACCTTTTTGAATCTGCCCAGCCTTGAGGAAACGTATGGGGACGATAGTAGAACTGGCTCTAGCGTTAGCCCTCATTCTAGCCTGGTCAACAACGGCTGCTAACTCTTTTAGCACCTTGTTGTGTCGCCAGGTATATCGGCCTTGGCCTAGGGCTTTCCTGCACGCGGACAGGACGTGCTCAAGAGTTTGCTTCGATTTGCACAACGGGCAAGTCGGATCGTTAGTCGCAGACCACTAAACCATGTTAACACCGGACGGTAATACATCGTACGCCGAACGAACGATAAAGCTCAGTTGCAGCGGGGTCATTCGCCAGATCTCACCCCATGTGAGTATTCTTGGCAATGCGCTCTCCAGGCTGACCCAATGGCCCTGCTGCGACTGCTGGGCCGCTTTCTGGAAACGAACCTCGTTTTCGTTGTCCCGCACCTGTTGTATTACCATGTCCCGGCGTTCTTTGGCTGAGGCCTTTGACCACCAATTGACCTTCCCGTGCCCTAGGCCTCGACGGTCAGTTTGAGTGTAACCCATTATCTCGCTCAATCTTAGTGCGTTCTGGGCAGATTCAATCGCATCGAGGACTCTCCACTTGTGCCCAGTCTTTAGAGCGGGCTGGACAGCGATGACATTTGGGTCAAGAGCATGGCGAGTCTTCTGTTTTCGCTAAATGTAACAACTTCAGGAAACCACATATTTTCATTATTTCCCAAAAATATCTTTAAATTAATTATGTTACAGTGTAACTTACATTTGGTTTCAGTACATCTGTTTGTTCTTTCAAGACTTCCATGACTCTGTTATGATCTAAGGAAACATATACAAACCACATTTACAATCTTTGCAAAGAAGATAGAACTAAAATGTGTTCAAATACCAGAGGGCTTCAAATAAAAACTTTAAAGGTGAAAAGTTTAGTTGAGTAAAGAATTGACATCACAGCACTCCGTCCTCATCTTCAGCAGCCAGCACAGTGTACTGACGGTACTGGTCACAATCTGGCTATATATCTGTCTTTCCTTTCCTCTGAGTGTAGTGAGCCTGCCAGACCTTCTGGTTACATCCAGGTGGCTCATTTTCTCCAGACCTTAATAATCTTCTTTCTCTACTGATTACGTTGATTCTTACCAAAGGGCCTTGACCACATCTGCCTTGTCATGTATCAATTCACCACCTAGTGGTGCAGATCCAGCCAATCTATCAGCCTACTTATTTCCCAACACACTGGCATGCCCTGGAGAAAATATCTAAAGGCTGCTAGTAACCTGGGACCTCTGAAGTGATGATTGCCACTATGCATGCAGCATGCCTCTCTTTACCTTTTTTAATATGCTTAATGAGTTAGTTACAATCACGGCATGTATGAACAGCTAATTCTCAAACTGATTTTTCAAAACACTGAAAAGGATCCATTTCTTTTACTTAACTATCATGAACTTATCAGCCTAGTCATAGTTTGAAACATCAACTTACCAACATCGTCTGCCAGCTTGACCCATGCTTCAGCAGCCTGTGCTTCTATTGGTGGTAACACTTTTTTGAAGCCCTGGAAGAAAAATTACAATTTGTCACTTTCTGTCTTTCTCAACAAGGAGCAGCTGGCCAAATTGGTTAGAACACTGGGCTTTCATGTGAAAGATCCAGGTTTGAATCACTGATAAGGTGATGGGTTTTTGTCTGTAGGCGGGAAGGGGGGGGGGGGATAAACATCTAATGAGTATATTTCATGGTTACTGCACTAGCCATGCAGCCCTATATAGTCAGGCTCCGCCCCCCCCCCTTACCCCACTCTCTCTCTCTAGCCACAGCACCTTTAAAAGGTTATTATCAGCACTGAAAGACATTTTTTTTTAATGTGTATCAATGGCAGAGTGGTTAAACCATTTGATCATTCTCTGAAAAGCATGGGTTCATTTTCAGACTTTGTTACTGATAGTGCATTGTTTGAGAGAGAAAAAGTCCAGATAACAACTTCTAAATTCTTCTTCTTAAAGACCATGCTGCGCTGCATCAGTTGTCATGTCTAACCACAACTTTCTATCTCTTATACTTTCCATCAGCTCTGATACAGATGATCCTACATGCCATGGTGTAAAACTGTCCAGTATGTATCTTCTCTCTCAGTCTCCCTCTGCCTCTCTACCCTTCCAACTTTCCTACTATCATAATGTACTCCAGCTTTCTCCTTCTCATGACATGACCAAAATAATGTAGATTGTCTCTTTCTGATGTGGGCAATCAGTTCTCTTCATGAGTTAGTTTCTTGCAAGGCATTTTCCTTACTCTTTTGATCTTTCCCAGGTATTCTCAACATTAGTCTACAAAACTACATATCCGCAGCTTCCATATAATTTTTCACTAATGTACCATCTGTTCATGATTCACACAGGATAGGATTTATGCTGCTTTTAAGAATTCTCTTTCTCCTTTTCAATTGATAAAGAAAGATTGCTTTGAATACTTGTCATTTTGTAAAATGCTACTTGTGCTTGAGCTTTTCTACATTTAACTTCTTTAATACATTTTCCATCTAATGTTATCATGGTACCCAAGTACTTCAACGTATCAACTTGCTTGAGGATTGTCCCAGCTACTTTGATTTTGATGTTGCATTTCAAAATTACAAATGGGAAAATGAAAAGTAAAGGATCTTCTTCTTCTTCTTCTTCGCGTTCACCAGCTGTAAACTCTGGCGGAAGGTTCTGGTTGCTCGTCCACTACTGAACTGCAGTCCTGCTCCAGAACCTGAGTGTTGCGTGTGCATCAGTTTTACAGATCTCATTCTCTTGAATACAGACTGTTGGTTCCTTGCCTCTCCGGCAGATGCACTCCGACTTCAAAGGAAGCTCCCCAATTAGTCGACTCTTACGACATGCTTTTGGGGAGGCAGTGGGTCTATTCTTGTTTTCCCCACAATTGGGCCCCGGAACCCACACGGGGGAGTAAAGGATCATTTTCATATGTTTGGACATTGAACATGCAGTGTTGAAGCTAATTGTTTTTGACTGACCGACCAATCAGCACTAAATGGGTGATGTGGCCAATACTGCGCCAGCAACCTTTGCTTTCCAGGACACTCGCTGGTACCTATTTTGAGCTGGGTTGATGTGGGAGCCAAAGTCAATTGAGAAATAAATATGGGTTCTTTTATTTCATGGGGAGTTCCCGGGAAAGTCCAGAGTTAGGGTAAAATTAAATAAAAGAACCAAAATCTGCCTCAATCTGGACTTCAACCCTTGACCTTCTGGCTGGTGGGCGAGCATCTAACTGCTCTATTACTGGAGATCCTATTACAAATGATAGTTAATTAAATTCACACACTTACATAAGGATCCTTGTATAGATAAGTCAATGCTGAGTCAGGCCTTGCCACATAGTTTTCATGCAAGGATTGTCTGTGTCTTTTCTCTGCTGAACTTACACCTGCATCAACTGTGAAGTAAGAAATGGTAGTTAATGAAGTATTTTTTTAAAAACAGACATCACATTTGTGCTTGGATGTACTAGGAAAACAGAAGATAAAAGAAGAAGAAGAAGCAGTATCTGTCAAGTGATTTTGTTTTAAATCTATATTCTTGGTTAACATAATTTTAATTTCAATTTCACATTGATCATAATAAATTTTTTTTTACATATTTAACTAAACATCAGAACAAGATGCCTAAAGATGCAAATTAATTATTATACAAAATTTGATAAAGCAAATACATGGGTACGTTTTAATAGTTTTAATGTGCACTGCTGATAAGCATAGGAAGGTGCGCTGACACAAAGAAAACATGGGGAAAGGGGAGTGTGCACACAGCCTCTCCCAAACTCTCTACCCCAGCTTTACAAATTATCTAGGCAAAAATTGAACACATTTTTATTATTATTAATGAGCTAAGAGGCAAATATTTATATAATAATACACTTGAAATAATATAAAATGTATAAACAAATATTTTTATTGAGAATTTATATATATAGTTAAAGGGTGCCGCCTCTAAGTCTGTTTACAAAATTATTGAGGTGGGGGAGGGGGGTCTCAGCGCTCTTCCCCTTCCACTCCAATATTTACGTGGGACTCAAGGGACCTAGGATGCCAGGTTCCAGCACCTTTGGCAAAGGCTATCATGTTTTGTCATCTCGCATGATCACCAAAATCACAGATCAGGTCCACTTTCTTGACTTGACCCATCTAGGTTTTATCCCTTTGCTTTGCTCTCCTTCTATCAGTCGTTACAGTTATTACCAAGTTCTTGTGTTCTTCTCATAACATGTCCAAAAAACTTTGCCTACATCTAATGTTTCTACCTTTTTCCCGACCTTCTTCTGCATCAAGGACCTTTTCGTTTATTTGTCTAACATTTTTTTTGGCATTTGTCTCACACATCCCACCATTACTGGCAGTAAATGTTTTTCAGCTAGTCTGTTTACGTATAAAACTATAAAACGTTAGTAAAAAAAAAAGTTTTAACTCAAATTTCCCACAAAGGCAATCAAATGTTAGAAGAAGTGTGTAGGGGATTCCCAAGTGGACGCATGCATTTTTCAGGCTCAATGATCATCCGCTGCTGGCGGTCAGCCTCTACTGTAAATCAGTCAGTGTCAAAACATTGGTCAGATTTTGTTTGCCAAAATATGAAGACCCAAGGGGAACAGAGACGTTGCAAGCCGTTTTTCCACAAGCTTGCCAATGCCCAAGTGGAAGCCATTTAGAAGATTCACAAGTCTATTGGTGATAATACCATCAGCATTACAAACACTAAGGGAGTCGTCATGGTGTTGGCAGATAGACGTCCGCCTGCGGATCCGAAGGTCGTGGGTTCATGTTCTGGCAGAGCCTGACTTTTTTCAAAAAATTACCTTGACTACCATGTTGACCCAGCCTTGAGTGGGTACCAGGTGCAGTCATGGGAAGTAAAGGCGGCCAGCATGATGCTGACCACATCTTCCACCAAGTACCGATTGGTCTATAAAAATATAGGTCTAGCCTAAAGGCGTGGAAAAGGGACCTAACACACACTAAAGAGTTGTACAATTGTTTCATTATTGCACAATGGTGGAGAGTGGGCCATGTTCATGTAAGTCCTCGGCAAGCTGATGTGATAGGGTCATTTACCAGATGCAGACTTTGGTCGTGCAGAGAGAATAAGACATCAAACTTTCCTGAAATGCTTCCAGCAAAGCTTAAGGTTTCAAACCTCCATGTGAATATTTATTTTTGTCAGCCATCGATACTTTTTAACACACTGTATACAGAAGGAAAATAATTAACATAACAGTTTCTTCCATATCTGAAATGGAATTACAATGAGGTGTTTATAAAGGTTGTATTTTGCCATCTATTTGGCATCATTTGTGTGTAAAGATATTTGAAGCTCAGACTGTTGTTATTATCATCAAGTGAATTATTTGTCTGACGATACGTAGTATATTTTGCAGTATATAATTAACATTTTCATCAGTCACCATGGTGTAGTGGCTAGACACTTCCCATGGATCAGAAGTTTATGAGTTAGGATCCTGACTGAGCTGGACTTTTTTTCATAAATGACCTTGGCTTCAAGGTTGACCCAGCCTTGAGTGGGTACCAGGTGCAATCCTGGGAAGTAAAGGCGCCTGGCGTGATGCTGACCACATCACCCACCGAGTGGTCTATAAAGTATTGGTCTAGACCTATGTGCCCAATACGCCTAAAGGCGTGGGAAAGAGTCCTTTACTTGTTCATCAAAAAGTGCCTAAATTATTTAAGGGCTCATTCTCCCACTCCATCATCAATTCTCAAGTTCTCATTTTCCTTTTTTTTGAAGATTTTAGCTTAGCTCATGCACTTTCTAGCAATTTTGGGTTTCCAAAAATGTGCAAAGAAAATCTGCAGGTACTAGGTGGAATAACTGATTGACTGACTTTTTACCCCACCAGGATATCACACAAGCGACAAACATTTGGTAACACAAAGTGCCACCATGCAGATGAGGATTACCCGTGGGGAGGTCCAGAAACCCGGTTCAGCCATTAGGCCATTTCTATGGCTAGGCCATATCTACGCCCTGGCTATATTCAGTGCCCCTGGCTGAAGCCAGGGTGGGGTTTCAAATGATGACAAATTGCATTCCACATGGGATGAGACTACAGCTGAAATATTCCACAAAGGCAGGTTTTTGGGGGTTTTAAAACTGACTCTGACAGGCAGATCAACCCAGCCTAAAATGGGTACCGGGTAATGTCCTGGGAAGTAAAGGCAGCTGGCATTATGGTGACCACATTTCCCATAGAGTGCTGATTAGTTTGTTACAACTGTAGGTCTAGCACTACATGCTCATTGTTTCTAGGGGTTGAAAAGATCCTCCCCTTACTTTACTTACAGCTAAAATTAAAAACCCCACTGGCTGAAAAACATTGGTCGATAAATTATTGCAGATAATATTTTATTGTTTTATTTTTACAGCTTTTGGTTAACCTTACCTCGGTATGCACTTGTTCCTAAAGTTGTGTCAGGTTTGTGGAAGCCTTCTATAAAGTGGAGCTTGTTTGTAATGAATAATCTGGAAACAATTTGCACAGTTGTTTTTTTAAATAAATGGTCATCGAAGTTAATATGTTTCTATATATTTCGGATGTTCATAAGAAAATTAGGGAATCAACTGAAGGATTTAGAAAAAAAATACAACCAGGAAATAAGCTGTCAGTAGGATGGTCTGTAGAAGTCTCTAGTGACCTTAAAACTTTCTTTTTCAGACACCAGTTACTTTCACTCATTAGTTAGTTAATTAACAGATTATCCTCTCTGCACATCGGACAATTCCATAAGCGCTGGATCCCATCTTCAGTATATCACTCTGCGTGTGGCAACTGATAATACCAGTTCTGTGCTGGTTTACTATTCTTCTTTGGTTACCTGTACAGTGGTTATGTTTGATGACACATATTTTGACTTGCAGTTCTTGTAGTCTTTTGAGTGTTGCTGATTCATCTTCTTTGAAAGCACTGAGAATGTCAGCCTCCCCATCTGTCAAGGTAACATGAAACCACGAGAGCAGGTGGTGGATCCAGCTTAGGAGCAACCTACAGATAGTTGTTGGTCAAGGTCTCAAGTTTCCAGATCGTATGAAGACACATTATAGTGACAACAGCCTCGGGCACCCAACAAATGTGGCCACTGCTAATAAGGAAGGCAATGGCTAACTACCTTCTTCAAGATACCAAGAATAGTCACTATTTCACAACCTACTATTTACATGTAACATACTATACTCACTGTGTGGGGTGTGGATTATTATGCCGATCACTTGACGTTGGTCTTGTCTGTGTTACCTCTCTAATTTCACCATTACTAAAATATGTTTCATAAGTAGTCATTCGAGGATACTGCTTGCTCCAGAGTTGTCTTGCGGTTTCTCTTATCTGAGAAAACTCTTGCTGAGATAAACATGCAGCCTTCTCACATTCTCTCAAGGCTGTGCTGTTTAAGGGATAGCATCCAACTGACAGCACTCTCCGCAACCTTGTCACTGGGTCTCCATAACCTGGTAGAATATGTCCAGCAGCCATGTTTGGCACATGGACCTCTACACTGTATATAAACAAAACAGTAGGTTAAAGGTCACCAAATTGAACAATTGAGATATTTGTTACCATTCATAATCATCATGTGGCTTTCATGTGGCTGGGATCACAGGACTATTCCCGCGTGTGTGTGCTGAGTGATTCTTTGAGTATGATCCGGCGGGTCGAGGCAGGCTGGTTACGCAGACAGTGGCTTGAGTCATTGCAAAATTCTCCTGTGTGTGCAGTTACTTTCATATTCGTCCCAGGGCATGCAGGCATTGTTGGTAATGAGAGAGCTGATAGACTGGCAGGTACTGCATTAATTGAAGATGGCCGGCCCATGGATCACGCAGACATTGTCATTGCCCTTAAAGAGATAAGACGTTCTGAGGATTTTGGAAGCAACGTGTCCACATCACTTCTAAGAATATGCGAATTGGGAGTAAAGAGCAGCACAACCAAGCATGAGAAGCACACTGGAAGCACACAAAGTCTTGTTAACCAACATAGGACTGGTACTATTAACCGCACAACGCTGATGAATATGTCGAGAGGGGAATCTGAGCGCCTATAGATGTGTCCGGAGTGCTGTGAAGATAATCTTACTCATAACTCATCATAATCAAGTGCCTTGCCAGCTGGCATAAACATTCATGGATCTCCACACATCTGGTGTTTTGGATCAATTCCACTGATGCCATTCCTCCATGCCACTGTCTGAAGCCATTCGTAACTTCTCTTGGTCTGTCTCTGCCTCTTCTACCTGTCATCTTTCCAGTCGTCACAATATTTTCTACTTTCCTTAGCCTTGCCTAGGCAACCATTTTTAGTTACTCTGGTAAAATGTATTTGCAGCATTCATCTCAAGAACCACACCTCAGTTGTCTCCAAACTCTTCTTAACTTGTTTGCTCACATTTCAAAATTCACTGCCATAAAACACAACAGACTCGATATAAAATTTAAGTACTTGTTTCCTGATGTATAACAAGAGTGATTTATTACCTAAGATACTTTTCATCTTCTGAAATGCTGCCTTTGCTAGGCCAATACCGTTTTTGTCAAAGTTAATATTTTGTAATTTATATTTTACACATCTTTTTCTGTGTTTACCCTTAAAAGGGTTTTTGGAACAATGTGTTGTGGTTTACAGTTAACTGTGATTTATGTGTCTTTCTGTCCAATATGTTCAATTTCAGCAAACCATTAATTAGTAACATTTTATAACATGCTTGTGAATCTACTCTTTTCCTCCCAAAATTTGGCACTGGAACCAATATATATATATATATAAAATCGATTTGTAGTAGACTCCCTTGTCATGTATCAATTCACTACCCAGCTATATCCTTGATACAGTTTCTTTAGTCTCTACTTGTGTTTTATAGTCTTCAACCTACTTCACTCTAGTTATTACTTTAACTTTTTCAGCACCTTAGTGCTACTGAACTTCTATCCACATATGACATATATAGTGCCACTTCTGTAAAAGGTTTTGTTAAGGTAGTATCTATCTATCTATAAGAAACTGAATGGGTTAGCAAACGTATATCTAGCCTATACAATAATTTAGGAAAAACAAATACTGCAAGTCTGTACTGCAATCAGTCAACCAGGTGCCATCTCCAAAGTCTTGTACACACAATCTTTTCAGATTGTTCATACCTTTCTTGATTTTGTCCTCTCATTGGTAATGCTCTCTGGGGTCTATCTCTTGTCTTTGACTTTTTTCTAACGAACAGTTTTATTTTTAAACAGAGTAAAGTGTCTTTTACTTCTAATATGGCCAAACGAAATGTTTTCATTTGCGGCTGTGGGACCCCAACTATACTGATTGTCTCTCGGTGCCGCAGTGACAAGCCGCCACTCGTCTCATCATTTCCTAGTTGAGTTGACAATTGTCATCACGGCACTCGGGACATTTCCCTGCATGCTCCGTCCTCATCTTGAGCAGCCAGCGCAGAGTTCTATCTGATGGTACCGGTCACAATCTGGTTATAATTATAACCGTTCCGTTATATTATATTATGTTATTATGTCAATATTAATATAAATAATAATAATCCGTCTCGCCGTCTGAGTCTTGCCTTTCCTCTGAGTGTAGCTAGGCAGCCGGCCAGACCCTCTGGTTACACCCATATCATTTCCCCTATCTCCGCAACCTCTGTCTTTGAGTGCTTTTTCTATTCCTCATTGTAATGTAACATAGTAAAATATTCTTAATTTAAAAATAAGATAAAACGAACATATCTCTTCCACGATTTAAAATCACCAGGCAACCAATGAAGCGGAAACGCTCTTCTGAAGAAGAAGTTAGAATTTATATACCAATCGTTGATTGGACAAACCTGCCATGTTTTGATCACGTGACAACTATTTTATATTCAGTCTGCTGTAAACAGAAACACAAAAACTGTCGACGTTCAAACATCGCGTTTTTGCAGAAATGTATAACTCTTTCTCTAGTAGATATTTAGAATTGTAATATCGCTGCGATAAACATATTCTGATACAATTCTAAGATGTAATATTATTGCTATTTCAATGTAAATTGCTAGTTGTATGTGTATATAGTTAATATAGTACATTTGTTTTATGCAGAGGTAAATTTCGAACTCTTCTGTCTTCTGGCCCCAGTTTAATTAATCTGTTAAGTGTTTATGAAACGGTTGAACTGGGGTTCTGGAATTTGAACTTGGTTTTATTTCCATTTATAAGATGTTTGCCCTACAGATACATTCTTCTTCTTCACGTTCACCATCTGTAAACTCTGGCGAAAATTGATGGGTGATCGTCCACATCTGGAGTCCTCTTCCAGAAAGTGAGCGTTGCGTGCACATCCATTTTATAGGTCTGACACTTTTGCATGCAGACTGTTGGTTAGTTGCCTTTCAGGTAGATGTACTCCGACTTGAAGGATTAGTCGACTCCTACGACTTACTAGTTGGGGAGGCAGTGGGTCTATTCTTGTTTTTCCCCACAATGGGGCCCCAGAATCCACACAGGGAGACAAATACATTTTTAAAAAAAAGGTTTGGGAACATTTTGATCTCATGGACACTATTCAAATTATAACCCTGAGGGCTGAACAGGATAGTTTTGCAAAAAACGAAAAGGATAAACCATACCACTTTTGAGAAATAACTACAATATCCCATCTCTTGTGGCAGTGAAAAATAACTACAATATACCATCTCTACTGGCAGTGAAAACTAACTACATTATACCATCTCTACTGGCAGTGAAAACTTACTACAATATACCATCTCTGTTGGCAGTTAAAACTAACTACAATATACCATCTCTACTGGCAGTGAAAACTAACTACAATATACCATCTCTACTGGCAGTGAAAACTAACTACAATATACCATCTCTACTGGCAGTGAAAACTAACTACAATATACCATCTCTACTGGCAGTGAAAACTAACTACAATATACCATCTCTACTGGCAGTGAAAACTAACTACAATATACCATCTCTTTTGGCAGTGAAAACTAACTACAATATACCATCTCTACTGTCAGTATTGACACTAGACATCTGGCATTTTTAGCAGAGACAGAGCCATCTAAGATACATATTTGTAATGTGACTAGATAGACCTTATAAGGAATTTGGAAGTTAGTTAATTTTATTTATGTACACTCTGTCAGACCAACAGTAGAAGTTTGGGAAACCAAATTCTGACTTTGCAGTCTCTCTGTCCGTGTTTTTTTTTTTTTTTATAGAGAATTTGCAGTTGCTTCTAAGGCATTTCAACTCCTCACAGAGCAAAGGTCTACAACTAGCTCACATCAAACCCTTTGTAGACTTGTTTGTGAGTTTAGTTGAGTCAAGGATTAACATCATAGCACTCCGGGCATTCCCTTGTTTGCTCCATCCTCATCTTCAGCAGCCAGTGCAGAGTTCAAATACTGATGGTACCGGTCACAATCTGGTTATATGTCCGTCTTGTCTTTCCTCTGAGTTTAGTAGGCTGGCCAGACCCTCTAGTTAGACCCAGGTGCCTCATTCTCTTCAGGCCATAATAATCTTGTTTCTCTACTGATTTCATTGCTTGTTCCCAAAGGGCCATGACCACATCTGCCTTGTCATGTATCAATTCACCACCAATGGTGCAGATCCAGCCAGTCTGTCTGCCTGTTCATTACCTACTACGCCGGCATAGTCTGGAGAAAAGATTTAAAGTATGCTCATTACCTGTGACCTTCCTAGTGAAGCTTGACTTGTTTGTGATTAGTTTGATACTGCAGCTTAAGTTTTCTATAGGATGAGGTAGCTATCTTGGTTGTCTCTTATGACATTCACAGCAAGTTATAGTATTACTATTCTTTGCTTCTCCAAGAGTCCCAGTTGCACATAATGTGGATATTGTAGACAAGGAGGAAACCATCACATAATTCTCCCAAAAATAAAGTTATGGTTATATCACAGATGTCGAGTGAAGGATGCACACGTTCAGAAACCCCTTGGACTGAAAAAAACATGAGTTGAGTTTAGAAGGGTATCTTCCATAAGCATTCTGACCCCATCTTTAGAAGCCAGTGCAGAGTTTGGATACTAGTGGTGCAGTCTGATTATATGATTCTTTTGCCTTACTTTCCTTTAAATGTCAGCCCAATCACCTTATCACTCCCTATTGCATCATTCTTTCCAGGCCGCAAAACCTTTTATAATACTGAAACCTGAACTGCGAGCCTTTCTTCTTCTAGTTCTTCTTATAATCCATGCTGTTGGTAGTCATGTCTATCCACAACCATCTGTCTCGTATACTTTCAGTCAGTTCTCTTTTCTCTTCCAGCTTTTGCACCGCCATGATGTACTCCAGTTTTTTCATATCTTGACTAAAATATGTAGATTGTCTCTGTTTGATGCGGGTGACCAGTTTTCTCTTCATGAGTTTACAGACATGACTTTGACTTTTCTTTGCAAATACTTGCAGTAGGTTGCAGTTTCTGTGCGAACAGTGCACATAACGGACATTTTGTCCTAGCCAGTGTGCCTGTAGAGGCATCCTCTGCACAGCACAACTAATGTTGTGACCAGTACTGAAAACTTTTCACCAGGCAAGCCGTATGTGATGGATAACGGCAGAACAGCATGATAATGATGTATAAGTGTTTTATATAACATGAGTGATTATAAACAACTTGTCCTAAAAAGATACTGATATAAGAAGTTTGAAGTTTTTGTCCTTTACATATTCTAGGTCATAACATAAGGAAGTGGGGTGACCAGTTTCCTGCTTTGTCACCTTTCTGTCCGATGAATTTCCCAGAAAATTCTGAAACTTTTCCGATACTGATGTTTATGAAGCTGGGTTGATCCCAGTATTTCATGTTTAATTAAACATTAAAGGGTTGATCCTAGAGCAGTACTGATGAAAATAAAATAATTCTGCTTCTGTGGAAAACCAGGAAAACTCTTGGCAAGCAAAAGCATAATTCACTATATGACTATTCCTGTGTGAGTTTCCGGGGCCCCGCTTTGAAAAGAAGGGGTGAGGGGGAATAGACCCAGCGCCCTGTAACTTTGTTTAATAACAATTCAGTTTTACCTGAACCTTTTCTGTCTAAAATAACTATTTATTTAAACTAATAAGAAATGCATTGATTGGAATTTAAGTAAAGACACTGTTTATTTGATAAGATAATGTAACAGGTAATATAGAATCAGTGAATATAACATTTGGTTGATAAGCAAGGAGATAAGAAAAGGGTAACATTATATGAGTAACCATAAACAATAAGTTGTTTGGCATTGAAAAGGTTACAAAGCATGTTGTCAAAGAAAACTAATTAAAGATTTGCTGAAATAGGGTGTGTTGGGCCTTAACTCTTTCAGTCTCAAACATTATCTGATGTTTGAACCACTCTATCCACTTAATCCTCTCCTTAGCTCAATGTGCACTCTTACTTTTTATGTTTGATCATAACATAAGAAAACTGGCTTCTGCAGTGATCACTACTATGTTATATTATGTAACACTTTGAAAGTAATGCATTCATGAATTTTTAAACATGGATATTTCTTCATTTTAACATCTCCTACGAAACATTCTGACTCAGATATTACAGCTTAGCTGTAAACCACAACATCGCATGCCAACCGCCATTTTCAGGTGAATGTAAATAAAGAAGACTCTACCACCATGGCTTCATGTACTTTTTATTTCTTACTGGGAGTTAAAGGCAGCGTCACTGATGTTTTTTTTTTTCAAACCAGCAACCTCCTGCTTTGGATTTCACTATTTTTATTATTAATTTCTTCTGGTTTTTTCAACATTCAAAGTCCTTGAGGTTCATTGCTGCAGATGTCACTGCCTGCATTCATCTCTATGATGAGCCTTCTCTTCCAGTTGGTGGCTTCCAAGTGTTTGTAGGTCTACCTGGATGTTATCTCTCCACTGTCTTCTTGGTCTGCTTCATGGTCTGTTCCTGTTCAGCTCTTTTGCTTACACAATTTTTAGTCTCTCTTCTGTTCTTTCTTCTTCACATTCACTGGCTGTGGCTTCTGGCAGAAAATTCTGGTTGTTCATCCACTTCTAGACACAAGTCTTCTTCCAGAGTTTTTTATGCACATCTGCTCTATAGATATGGCTTATTTGAATGCAACCTTTTGGCTACTCGCCTTTCAGGTAGATGCACTCCTACTTCGAACGAAAAGTTCCTAATTAGGTGACTCTTTACGACATGCTTTTTAGGCGACAATGGGTCTATTTCCCACCCCCTTCCGCCACCACAATGGGGTCCCAGAACCCACACATGAACTTGTCTGTCTGTTATCTGCCATTATTAATATTAACAATTTGATTTACTTCCACAGAACAATATGCCAATTTTATTTGCTGTCGTTGCACGGGGGACAACAGTCCTAGCAAAGTTTGCCACCTGTGCTGGTAACTTTACTGAAGTAACGGAACAGATTTTGATGAAAATCCCTCCAGAAAATTCCAGGCTTACTTATTCTCATGGACGGTATGAATGTAAATTTTATTTTTTTAAAGACTGTTCACTCTAATTTATAATGACATTACGTGTACTTCTCACCCAAATGGGCACTAACAAAAAAGACACCCGTTCACAGTGAAGAATTTATAGTTTTCATTTTCATGTTTTTTTTTTTTAACGTATCCAAAAACCATGAGTTGTAAACCCTTTGGCTCGGTACTATGGATATCGCAACCCTTCGGCATTGATTCCATTATAGGTACCGTTAATCTGCCTACCCCCGGGAGTGAACCCGGACCACAAGGAGTTCGTCACCCGGCCGCCGCGAAAGTCAGGTTTAACCAACTTCGCTAGAGAGCCGGGCTATTTTTTCATGCTTAAATAGTGCAATCTCAAACAACATATGATGTTTATTTGGCTCTTTCCGGTGGATCTCAAGTATCTTCTATTACATTGTTGCCTTACCATACAGGCTTGGTATTTCTGATTCCCACAATGGTCACTTTGATATTCATTATTCATATGTCCAGGGCTTTTTTTTTCCTAGAAAATAAGGTGTTGGTGCTCGCCACACAGTTTCTAAAAAGGGACCGGTACTCACCAGACAGTGTCTAAAAAGCCATCAGTACTCATCACAGAATGTCTAAAAGGTACCGGTACTCACCAGACAGTGTCTAAAAAGCTGCCAGTACTGACCACAAAGTGTTTATCAGTAGGGCTGAAAAAAGTAGGCAGTAAAAAAAGGTGCCGGTACTGCATACCATTGTGTCCTATCTGAAAAATGCCCTGCACACGCCCAATTTAGGGGGACGGTGGAAAATCATGCTGACAGTCGCCACTTCTAACAGTTATTTCTGCTATTCATTATATGTGAGTTTAGCACATACATGATACATGGGTAGTTAGAGACCTTTGGATATTTACTCCAGGTTATGCTGGTGTGTTGGGAAATGAGCAGGCAGATAGACTGGCCAGCTGGGCACCACCTGGTGGTGAATTAATATATGACAAGCTAGATATTGTGAGACGCCCTTTGTGAGCGAGTGAAATAGTGAGGAGCCCTTTGGGAGCGAGTGAACAGTGAGGAGGCCCAGATAGATCATTACGGTCTGAGGAGAATGGCGCTGCAAGGAGTTACAAGGGGATCTGGCAGACGCTCAACACTTAGGGGAATGGCAAGACACATATACAATCAGACAGTTACTGATGAAATCAGAATTGCAACTCTTTGCTGCTGAAGATGGGGATGGAGTGCTTATGGGGTGTCCTGAGTTCTGTGATGTCAATTCCTAATTCAGTATTCAACATTCAGCAGATACATGAGTGCTCTGATTTCCACCTCTCTAGCTCCACATACTTAAAACAACTGCTCACACCTGTTCTGTGTTGATTAGTCAGACATCTTCTGCTGTTAGTAAAGTGTTCATGTATGCCAGCCTCAGGTTGCACCTTCATATCCATCAACCTGGTCAGAGATACAAACTCTGCCTGTCGCTGTAAACCATCTTCTTCTGCTTCTTTACATCTTCTTTTACTGCTTTGACCATAGACATATCTTGGTGCTGTAGAGTTTCTCTGATGTTATCTTTCCATATTGTTCTTGGTCTACCTCTTGCTCTGTGTCCCTTTCCTCTTTTGGTATAGGCCTTGTATGGAATGGCATCAGAAGGCATTCTCTGCAAATGAGCAAACCATTTGATTTGCTGTCTTTGTATATAATTAGAATTGGTTCTGTGCCGACTTTATCTCGTATGACCTCATTCCTGATTTTCTCTCTTCTGGTCATTTCTACAGTCTTTCTCAGGCACCTCATTTCCATGGCTACTAATTTTCAAATAATAATCCATCTTCACAATATGCATGTCACATGGCCGTGGTGACATCACTCTTGACCAGAGCTATACTTGTCATAGTGATCGTTGAGTTCACCAGATAATCTGAACAGACAATTCTTCAGTCTGAACAAAGAAGACACAAACAATAGATTGCATAATTTATTGCCTGGCATATTTCGCTGTATCTCGCCAGGTGCATACTACAGTAACCATTAATTAAAATGAAGCAAATAAATGAAACCTTTAAACTGAAACACAAAATCGACTACATTTACCTGCATGACCTAGCACAAAGATAAAGATTAAGTTACCCTCTAGTGCAGGGCTATTCAACTGGCGGCCCACGGGCCAGATCTGGCCCACGGAGGCCTAGCAAGTGGCCCGCCGATCGTTGCCACTGAAGTGTAGTATATTTTAAAAAGTGTAATCAATCAATGTTTCTGTATAAATCTTCAAGAACCAGTTGTGACAATAGGAAATGTTTGTCAGGGATCTTCTAATGCGAAGATATAAGGGAATGGGCGTATGAACAGACAATACCACAACTGCGGGAATGTCTCAGGCATGGAAATGTAATTAGTTCATGGTAAAGGTTACTTCAGATAGCAGGACTCGCCTGTTTGGAGCCAAAGGTAACAAGATAGGCTGGACAGAATCAAGTAACCACGGCAGGAAGCAATCGCTCCACTGGACAGTCAATGAAGGTGAGATATTTATTTGACAGGAGGCGTATGGAGATACAAACCCAGTCCAGATAGTTAGCGCTTAGATTACTGAGGAACTCTCCCTAAAAGTTTACTAGTACACAAAGACTAATGACAATAAATGCTGCAGAACATTAGTGACACTGGACACCGCAGAACACCTGCTAGTGATCTTATTGTAATATTATAATTAGATTTTTCATAAACGTCAAGTGTGCAAGTCACAGACAGACGTAGACTGCCGGACAGGATTGTGTAGTAACAAACTGAAACAGTAACAGTGTTTTAAGTTATCTAAATTTTTATAATTAAGTGAAATACTTGATGCCATGGCTGGTACTAGTAAGAAAGCTAAGTGGGAGTGTGAAAATCTTATGTTCAATAATGACTGGATACTGAAATATTTATTTATATCACCAACTATGCCTAATTCGAAACCAGTGTGCTTGCTATGCAACGAATGTGTGTCGGCGGTAAAGGAGTACAACGTGAATCGGCACTTAACAACGAAACATGCTGATTTTAGAAAACCATATCCAGAAGGTTTCACTGCTATGAAATCAAAGGTTGAGTCGTTCATTGCTGCTTATCAGCATAGCAGCAGAATACTTGTGCGAGCTTGTACTCAACAAGAAGAAAGCTACAGCAGCTTCTTTGCATGTTTCGTGGATATTAGCCAAAAAGAAGCGGCCTTTCACTGACTCAGAAACCGTGAAAGAATTCATACTAGCTATTTTGGACGAAATAAGCAGTTAATGATAAAATAAAGTAAGTATTTTATAATTGTTACAAAAGATTATAGTACATTTTACATTAATTATAATGGTTTACAATACTGTTTCATTTATACTACTGTAGGCTAGGCCTAGTCTTGGAGTGTATTTAATTTACACATTGACAGTTTTCTCAATTGTAGTGTTAACTCTTTGAGTCCCAGGGGGTTTAGCATCAGAGCCCAAAGGGGTAGTCAAGAAAGATGTAAATCAGCGCATCTTGCGTTCATTGGGCTTCTAGGCGGGAACCTATGAATGTCTAATGTGTTCCTTGGGACTTATTAATAATCTTCCCACACTTGGCTCGGGCCACTGGCCCATGACGATCATTTTCAACATTTTGGCCCGTGAGTAAACCTGCCCTGCTGTAGTGGGTTGACTTCATTACATCAGGTTTTATTCTCTTAGGGCTCATCTCTGTCTGGGGAACGACTAGCTGCCTGCCAAGAGAGTCAAGCAAAGCATAAACTGTCAGCTCCAGGGATGGTTCCTTGGGAATGTCCATAAAACAAAACTGCCTTCGTGAACCAAATGGCATGTCTGTGAAATGAACCTATAGCCTTCAGAATGTGAGGTAGGCAGCTTGCCCACTTTGCCATTGAGACCACCAGATAAAGGTTAGATAGGTTAAAGTAAAATTGGTTCTGAAAACATTCAGTCTCTTTATTCAAGTTTGTACATTTACATGAAGAAATTAAATCTATTTCAGCTTCTTATTCCATTACATCACAGAAGACAAGATTGTGTACATGTGTATAACAGATGATGTAAGTTACATGTTTGTAATTGATTGAGTATCAAAGGTTTTCATTAATACTTTTTAGCTTGTCTTGTGGTTTTTTTTGTAAATTTCACATTATCATTTCTTTGTTTTAGCTTGCTTTGTGATTATCTATGACAAGGTTATGATTTCTTTGTTTTAGTTTGTTTCATGACTTTTTTATGTCAAGGGTTATGATTTCTTTGTTTTAGCTTGTTTCGTGATTTTTTTATGTCAAGGGTTATGATTTCTTTGTTTTAGCTTGTTTCGTGATTTTTTTTTATGTCAAGGGTTATAATTTCTTTGTTTTAGCTTGTTTCATGATTTTTTTTATGCCAAGGGTTATGATTTCTCTGTTTTAGCTTGTTTCATGATTTTTTTATGTCAAGGGTTATTATTTCTTTGTTTTAGCTTGTTTCATTATTATTTTTTTATATCACGCGTTATGATTTTTTTGTTTTAGCTTGTTTCATTTTTTTTATATCAAGGGTTATGATTTCTTTGTTTTAGCTTGTTTCATGATTTATTTTATGTCAAAAGTAATAATTTCTTTGTTTTAGCTTGTTTCGTGATTTTTTTATGTCAAGGGTAATGATTTCTTGTTTTAGTTTGTTTCATGACTTTTTTTTATGTCAAGGGTTATTATTTCTTTGTTTAAGCCTCTTTCATTATTTTTTTTAAAAATATCACGGGTTATGATTTCTTTGTTTTAGCTTGTTTCATTATTTTTTTTTATATCAAGGGTTATGATTTCTTTGTTTTAGCTTGTTTCATGATTTTTTTTTTCAAGAGTTATCATTTCTTTGTTTTAGCTTGTTTCAATATTTTTTTTATGTCAAGAGTTATCATTTCTTTGTTTCAGGTTGTCTCATGATTCTAATTGCTTGTCTAACAAGAGTTTGCATGTATCTGTTTTAGATTGTCTCACTTTTTTAACTGATTAGTATCGAGGTTTTTTTGTTGTTGTTGTTGTTTTGTTTAAACTTGCCTCTTGTTTCTAATTGATCGAGTATCAAAGGTTTTGCTATCTTTGTTTTAGTTTGTCTTATGTTTCTAATTAATTGGGTATCAATGGTTGTTAATTTTGTATTTTACTTTGTCTTATGTTTTTAAGTAATTATGTGTCAAGGGATTTCATCTGTCTATTTACGGTTATCTTTTGGTTTTATCTAGTTCAGATTCAAGGGTTTTCAGAAGTGGCTACCAGGTCTTCTTCTTACAGTCCATGCCAAATGGCATTGGTAGTCATATCTGTCCACAACCTTCTGTCTCATGTACTTTCAGTCAGCTCTGACGCAGATGATCTTCCACGTCATGCTGTCACACTGTACAGCACCTTCTCTCTCTGTCTCTTTCTGCCTCTATTCCCTCCAACTTTCCCACCATCATAATTAACTCAAGTTGTCTCCTTTGCATAAAGGGCCAGCAGAATGTAGATTACCTACTTTTGATCTGGGTAGTCAGATCTCTCTGTGAGTCAGTGTCTTGCAATATATATCTTCTCTACTCTTTTTGTCTGTCCAATGTATTCTCATCATTCGTCTATAAAACCACAATCTAGAAGAGCTCAAGCATGGCAGAATTTCACAGAAGTTTTGTCAATTGAGATGAGAAAGAGAATTCTCAAAAGCTATATAAATCCTGTCCTTACATACAGAAATGAATCATTGGCAGTTAGCCGATTAGTTAAAAAACAAAACAAAACACAAAAATTATGTTCAAGCGGCAGAGATGTGGTTTTATTGACAAATAATGAGAACTCTCTGGAAAGATAAAAAAAGCAATGGAGATGTCTTAAAAGAAACTGATTCACGAAGAGAACTGGTCTTCCACATCAGAAGGAGATGATTTTATATTCTTTTGTCATGCCAGGAGAAGGAGAACACTGGAGTTATCAGTTAGATTATCTTCACAGCACTCTGGACACATCCTTAGGTGCTCATATTCATCAGAGTCACATGGTTAATAGTACCAGTTCTATGTTGGAGTACCTCATGGCGGTGGAAAGTTGGAGGGAAAAAGAGGCAGAGAGAAGATGTTGGACGTTTAACATCATGGCATGGAAGATCATCTGTGACAGAATTGATTGAAAGTGCACAAAACTAAAAGTATTGGATAGACATGACTACCAGCGCCACACAGCATGGAATATAAGAAGATAAATAGAGAGGGAACCCATAAGGCCATATAAATATGAAATGTAATGAACAAACAGTGTATTGATCGGCACTCATAGAAAGAAGTAGAAAGGTAGAAGAACACACTAGACAACATAAAAATTGAAAGCTATAGTTACCGTACCGGGCATCTAACATGTCACCTCTAAATGGGGTGTTCGCCTCACTGTGAAAATAAGCGCACTAAGAACATAGTCAATTAGGCCACAGTAACTATAGTTTTCGATATTTATGCTGTCTAGTGTGTTCTTCTACCTTTCTACTTCTTTCTGTGAGTGCCGATCAATACATTGTCTGTTTGGTTATTACATTTAATGGACCCAAAGAACAAGAAGAATTACAATATTATCTATAATTCTGTTTTGCCTTTTTTTCTTTCTGTTTTTTTTTTTCTTTAGTCCTGTTTTGCCTTAATTTCTTTTTTTTTTTTTTTCTAGGCCTGTTCTGCCTTAATTTCTTTCTCTTTTTTTCTGTAGTCCTATTCTGCGTTAATTTCTTTCTCTTTTTTTCTCTAGTCATGTTCAGCATTATTTTCTTTCTGTTTTTTTTTTTAATTCTAGTCCTGTTCTGCCTTAATTTCTTTGTTTTTTCTCTAGTCCTGTTCTGCCTTAATTTCTTTGTGTTTTTTCTCTAGTCCTGTTCTGCCTTAATTTCTTTGTGTTTTTTCTCCAGTCCTGTTCTGCCTTAATTTCTTTGTGTTTTTTCTTCAAAAAGGTATCTGATGCGAGCCATGATGTGTGCTATATAGATGCCGGCATTCACGGTCTCTGAAGATCTTTCAATCCATCATGTGTAAGGGCATACTCTAGCCCTATGTACGTTGTGTCTAAGTGACAGGGCTGTCTGTGGTGCACTATTCGATTTCAGTCTTGACACATGTCTGAACCTTTTGACCTGTTGTCTCTTAATGTAGTTTAGCACTGGTTCTATCATAGCTTGTTTTCTAATATCATAATTTCTTAAGGTTTCTTATCTTGTTACATTCTGGATTCATCATGTACATTTCATTCTTGTTTTTTCAGTTTGCTTTTTCTTTTTGATATCCTCTAGCACTGATATCACAATGTTGGTGGTACAAATACTGTATTGAATAGTGTTTTTTTTTATGTCACATGTTTCATGTTTGTTCTGCAATGTTGCTGACATCTTTCTATTGATTTGATTTGCTTAATCAAGTTAATTCCTTATTTAACATAGTTATTATCTACCAAATTGAATTCTTATTTTCCACCCCCCCCCCTTCCCGGCCCTTTTCTCACATTTATACTGATTTGGTATCTTGATTTTTCCTGCAGGAATTTGACAGATCTAAGGCATTCATGTTTCTAAAAGAAATTAAACACAGGTATGTTGATATAATTGTATTGTGGTGTTCTCTGGGAACTATTTTCAATTTTTTCACTTTTGATGTATGTAATGTTTTCTTTGAATGTATGGATAATGTATAGATATAATAATGTTCATTAATACAGAATAATTTTTTTGTAAGCGATAGATAGTATATGCTTTTGAGAAACATTAAATGTATTCTAAATATGTATGAAATTATTATGTACAAGTCAAGATTAAAAGTCAAGAGGATGGACTTCATTGCACCGAGTTTTATCCCATATGGCTCAGTCTCTCTCCACAGAACGGCTAGCTGCCTGCCGAGAGTATCACACAGAGCACGAGCTCGGTAGCTCCGGTGATGATCCTCAGGGATCTCCCGTACAAATTGCACTCGTGAACTGAAGATGTAGCCTTGAAATGAAGCAAACAGCTTGACCACTTCGCCACCGAGAAAGCCCCCTTGTACAAGTGTGCGAGTATGTGTAATTTGTATGTTTGATGCTGTAGAGCAGGGCTATTCCAACTGGCCCATGGATCACTGTCTGTGTATTGTGTTTAGGGTCTTTGTATGCTTCGGCTCAGGCCTCACGCCCGTGATAATCCCCATTTTCAAAATTGTGGCCACTGAGTAAACTCAGTTGAATAGCCCTGGTGTCAAGATTGCTTCTTTTTTTATATTTTCCTCACCCTTCCCCACTCCCTTTTTTCTCTCTTTCTGGGTGTGTGTTTGTGTGTGAAAACAAATATGTTTCTCTCTCTTTGGGTGTGTGTATGTGTGTGTGAAAACACAATTTTTTTTTTGTCTCTGTGGGTGTGTGTTTGTGTGTGAAAACAAACATTTTTTCTCTCTCTGTGGGTGTGTGTTTGTGTGTGAAAACAAACTTTTTTTTCTCTCTGTGGGTGTGTGTTTGTGTGTGAAAACAAAAATTTTTTTTTCTCTCTGTGGGTGTGTGTTTGTGTATAAAAACAAACTTTTCTTCTCTCTCTGTGGGTGTGTGTTTGGTGTAAAAACATTTTATTTTTCTCTGTTGGTGTGTGTGAAAACAAACTTTTTTCCTCTGTTGGTGTGTGCGCGCGCGTGTGTGTTTGTGCGTGTGTGTGTGTGTGCGTGCGAGAGAGAGAGAGAAAACAAACTTTTTTTTAAAATCTTTGTTGGTGTGTGTGTTTGTGAAAACAAACATTGGTGTTTAAAGAATGAAAATATCAGTCTTTTTTAAAATCTTTTGCCTTTCATTGTAACTGCTTAGTGTTGACTGTCTTGAGTCTTGTACTATTCATACAGCAGTGGGGAAACTCAAAAACATAAAATTGCCCAGTAAAACCACACAACAACCAATAAATGTTGGCATTGGTTTGCTGTAACATGAAGAGGGCATGCAACTAACTTTAGGTTTACATTGCAGTATTTAAAACTCGAGAACAAGACTTTGTTTTAACACATTTTAATGCAATAGCTAACAAGACCTTATCAACGTTTTAACACATTTTAATGCAATAGCTAACCCGGGTTTCCGGCCAGCTAATTCTCTCTTAGAAACACACATCTTTAATTAATGTATTTAACATTTATATCATAGCTGTAGAGGCGCTGGCTTTGAAAGTACACAGGGCTGGAGAATAGGCTAGAGAAAGAGAGACTTTCAGAGGATGGAACAACGTTCTGTATAGGACATGCTGACTGATGATAAAATGCAAGTAGCTATTAACAACAAGCTGTTAAGACAAATACTTATGTTGCCAGGAAAGCTGATGTTTTCCAGCTTTTACCACTATTCACACCAGCCAACCCAAACCATATAGTTTTGTATTGAGTCTTCAGTAAAGCTTCCTGCCCTGATGCAGCAGCAAGGCATTCCAGGAGAAAAGAAAAGAATAAGAAATATAGTTTCACTTTTCATGTTAACAGCTGCTTTGTAGATTATATCTTCTTTTCCTGCAGATTTCAGTCCCAGTATGGAACAAGAGCCCAGACAGCTTTGCCATATGCGATGAATAGTGATTTCTCTAACGTCCTGGCAGCTCAAATGGTTTGTTTCTTTGTTAAAATTTCCTTTTTTTGGGGGGGTTAAATTTCTCATGTCCAGAGAAGGGGAAGCGTGTATATTGTCAAAAAAAACAAACAGGAAAGTTAGAGGGAAAGGGAAGATGAGAAAGACTACAAGGAAATTTCCTGTGTAGGTTCTGGGGTGTAAAAAGTGTATACACGAAAGAGATGAATGGTTATAGACCATGAGGCAGACCAGGATGATGATGGAGAGATAATATCTAGACAGACCTGCAAACACTTGGTGTCACCAACTGGAAAGAGAAGGCCAACCAGAGAGATGAAGAGCTCGGAATGCTGAAGAAGAAGAAGGTTCTGGGGTCCCATTGTGGGGAAAACAAGAATAGACCCACTACCTTCTCAACAAGCATGTCGTAAGAGTCGACTAATTGGGGACTTCCTTCATAGTTGAAGTGCATCTGCCTGAGTGGCAAGGAACCAACAATCTGCATACAAATAAGAAAGATCAGTAACAGATGCACACACAAAACATAAGTCCTAGAGCAAAGCCAAAGTACAGGAATGGATGAAGAACCAGGACTTTACCCCAGGGTTTACAGCCGGTGAATGCATACAACAACTACAAGGAAAAAGGCCAGACAGTTTGGCATCATGATGTGGGAGAACATATGAGAACATATACACAGCTGGAAAGATCAGTGGCAGACTACGCCGGGACAGACTGAAAGAGATGATGCTGAGTGGTCTACGATGATTGCATGGCTTCTTCTTCATTCACTCTTATATTGGGTGGCATGTTGAATGTTTAATGTTGAATTAAGAATCAACATCACAGCACTCGGGTCACCCCCAAAAGTGCTCTGTCCCTATCTTCAGCAGCAAGCGAAGAGTTAAAATTCCGATAATACCAGTAACTGTCTGATTGTATATCCGCCTCACCTTTCCCCTGAGTGTTGAGCGTCAGCCAGATTCCCTTGTAACTCCTTGCAGTGCCATTCTCCTCAGACCATGAATTATCTATATGTGCCTCGGCACTGTCACTTGCTCCCAAAGGGCCCTCACAATATCCAGCTTATCTTACATCAGTTCACCACCAAGTGGTGCAGAACCGGCCAGTCTGTCTTACACGGGGGTGGTATGTTGTGTTGTAGTTTACACTTAGGTTGCTGTATCTGCGTCTTTGGGCCCAAAACATCAGATTTAAGAAAGTCCCTAAATAGTCACCTTTCATGATGTACTTGTTGAGGGACATTAGGGCTGTTTTCTTCCTCTGTGTTTATCATATCAGCAATATCATTTACCAAGATCTGCCTCTGTGGAGAGAGATCCATGCTTTAACCAGGTGACAAGACATGTTTATGCAGGTGGTGATTTATTTTTAATATTAAAAATATATTGACTGCTGTTAATTTTGCAGAAGATTATCTCAGAAGAAAAGCCTGATCAGGTCACAAAAGTCGAGAACCAGGTCGAAGAGCTGAAAGGCATTATGGTTCAGAATATTGGTGAGTATTGAAAGATACATTTAATTAGCACTAATTGTGCTGGGTTCTATACTCGCTGACTGAATAATATCCCCCCAATTTTTTTTTTTTTATGGGGTTGGCTGAGGCCCCATCCCATCCTAGAAAATTTCAAAGGAGACTAACTGCCAAGAACCCCCTCTCCACTCACACACACACACACACACATTTGTATCAAAGCTTTCTGTTTAAGTGACTGTGCTCATAATAATATAATAATAGCAGTGTAATAATAATATTTGTTATTACACATGTAAAACAAGCTTAGCTCCTCCACCCAGAAAATATATTGGGGGTGAGCCCCCCCCCCCCCCCCCCCCCCCCCCCCCTCCCCTCCCCTGAATGTTTTCTTTATGTCAGTACCTCAGATGAAGACGCCGCTCACTTTTGGAGCTGGTTAGGGTGACTAGAACTTTTTTTTTTTCGAACAAACTGGAACTGGAAGATGACAGTACTTCTTTTTTTTCCTTCCTCAATCATTTCTCTGCACTACACAGAATTATTTCTTTGTGGGTTCTGGAGCCCATTTTAGGGACAAAGAATAGTCTTCCTCCGACCCTAACAGGCGTGTCATAGGAGGCGACTAATTAGGGAAGTTTCGGGGTGTTTTCTTCGAAGTTGGAATACATCTGTCTGACAGGTGAGGAACTACTCGTATAAATATATATATATTAGGGCTGTACCGAATAGTTACGGTCGGCCTAATACGAATAGTAGTTACCTCACACCCGCTTCTGCATACACGGGGCCAAATGTGACAACTATTGAAGGATTCGGTTTTGTTGAAAGCTAATGCAGCTTTCCTGCATGAACTAAGCTGTCAGTGACAATTTCCAAGTTTAGTTACTTGTAATAATACTTAGGATTCTTTTATTCCTAGTTATCACACCAGACTTGAAGGATGCAAAAACATAAAATGTTTTTAAATGTTTACTATTCTGCGGCCTAACTAGACATGGAAAGATAAACATGGCCACATCCAAGTCGATAATATGAAAATCAAACGAACAGAAAAATATTTTGTTGGGTGCAAACTGCAAGCTTTTCCATGAACAAGCTGAGAGAAGAAATACAATCAAGTTTAGTTGCTTGTAATAATACTTACTATTCTTTTATTCCTAGCTATTAGTCAAACAGACTGACTGCAACAGGATGCAAAAAACATAAAATGTTTTTAAAATGTTAAGTCGTCTTTATATACTCTGAAACTTGAAGCAGAATATAAAACTGATGCCTTATTACGGTTAATATGAAAACAAACTTACAGACAAATCTTTGGACCCATCAAAGAAGCTAACAGTGGGGAATGGAGAGTGAGAAGCAACAACGTAACACATAATCTGTTTAAATCACCATTGATCACTGGCATCATGATCCTCAGACCGTGGTGGTCTGTTTATGCCTCCACACAGTTCACTTGCTCCCAAAGGACCCTTGTAACATCCAGCTTGTTGTGTATCAATTCACCACCAAAGTGGTGCAAAAGTAGCCAATCTGTCTGCATGTTTGTTTCCTAACACACTAGCATTCTTTTGTTATTAGAAACTATGGTAATTATAGTGGGTATGGCACTGGCTTTCTGAGTTTAAATAACAATAAATAGATGTTTTACCATAAGTTTTAGAGAACAAACAAAACACACACAAAAAGCTACACCCTGGTTGTCCAGGCTGGGGGTTGAAGCATGGGGCTGACAACCCAACCTTTGTAAAACCTCATTTTGCCACAAAACAGATAACTGAGCCTCAAATTCAAATGAAGTTGGCATCAGCAGCTTAAAAGAGGAGACCAGTTACAGAGATGAATGGAGGCAGGTGATATTTGCAGCAGTGGACCTCAAGAGTAAAGTAAAGGACCCTTTTCCACACCTTTAAGGCATATAGGGCTAGACCTATATTTTTATAGACCAATCGGCACAAGATGGGTGATGTAGTCCGCATCATACCAGCCGCCTTTACTTCCTGGGACTGCACCCGGTACCCACTAAAGGCTGGATCGACCTGGGAGGCAAGGTCATTTTTGATAAAAGTCCGGCTCTGCCAGGGATCGAACCCACGACCTTCCGATCCACGGTGAGCGTCTGGCCGCTCTGCTGCGATGACTTCCAAGCACTCAGAGTGCTGAAGAAGAAGATTTTCAGCATTACTGATCTTCTGCCACAGTTAAGGAATTTAACAGATGCTGTCAACAGCAAAGAAGTTCAACTACTTACTTAGTCGCTCCTCTCTTACCTTGGGGTGTACAGGTTTGCCAGTTAGATCGCCAGACGTCTCTATCAGCAGTTCTCTTTCTGGCTTGGTTCCATTCCAGTCATCTGTCAGTCAGGGACTTTGGATGTTGTAAAAAAGTTTAAACTAAGTTTTATTTCTGCATTGATTTTACAAATATCCTTGTCAAACTTCCATTTGCAGATCGGTTAGCAGAGCGAGGAGAAAGACTAGAACTGCTGGTTGATAAAACGGAGGAGCTAAATGCAAATGTAACTTGAAATCTTTTATGCTTATTTACCATTTAGTAAAGGTCCTTTTTTTCACGTCTTTAGGCATATAGGGCATATAGGGCTAGACCTGAATTTTTATAGACCAATCGGCACAAGATGAATGATGTGGTCAGCATCACGCCGGCTGCCTTTACTTCTGGGACTGCACATGGTACCCACTCACGGCTGGGTTGACCCGGGAGTCAATGTCATTTTTGAAAAAAGTCTGGCTCCGCCAGGGAGCAAACCCACGACCTTTTGATCCACCAGCAAGCATTTCGCTGCTACGCCACGGTAACTCCCCTTATTTACCATTTAACTACATGAAATTAACAATTAACATTTTTGCTTAAAATGAGAAATCAGTTGTTAAACATGTGTGTCCCTCTGTTACTACTCACCAACTTTATTATAAAATGTTAGTTGTCTGGTCGCTTCAGAAAGGCAGCCTTCGAATAGTAATAATTTTTTTTCTATTCTCAGCTTTAATACACTTTTTTTTTTCATTAGAAAAGCATAGTCTGTGAAATATACTGCATGATTTATTAATTACCATATTTTTCAAACTCCCTATGGTAGAATTAATTAATTAACCTATTTACAGCTGTCCTGGCACTTTGTTTAAACATAATTTTTCAGCACCTGGTAATAGACACTTTGCGGTCAGTACTGGCACCTTTTTTAAAACACCTTGTGATGAGTATGACCTTTTTCCCTAGAAAAAACCTTGAGTGTATCTAAATTTTTAGTTTTTCAAATTTTATTGAAGTGATAAACAATTTCCTGATTCAGTGGTGGGGGTTGTTTTCTTTAGGTGGTGTGTTAGTGGTGGGTATTGTTTCCTTTAGGTGGTGTCTTAGTGGTGGGTATTGTTTTCTTTAGGTGGTGTGTTAGTGGTGGGTATTGTTTTCTTTAGGTGGTGTGTTAGTGGTGGGTATTGTTTCCTTTAGGTGGTGTGTGAGTGGTGGGTATTGTTTTCTTTAGGTGGTGTGTTAGTGGTGGGGGTTGTTTTCTTTAGGTGGTGTGTTAGTGGTGAGTATTGTTTCCTTTAGGTGGTGTCTTAGTGGTGGGTATTGTTTCCTTTAGGTGGTGTGTTAGTGGTGGGTATTGTTTTCTTTTGGTGTTTAGTGGTGGGTATTGTTTAGTGTTTTAGTGGTGTGTGAGTGGTGGGTATTGTTTTCTTTAGGTGGTGTGTTAGTGGTGGGTATTGTTTTCTTTAGGTGGTGTGTTAGTGGTGGGTATTGTTTTCTTTAGGTGGTGTGTGAGTGGTGGGTATTGTTTTCTTTGGTGGGTATTGTTTTCTTTAGGTGGTGTGTTAGTGGTGGGTATTGTTTTCTTTAGGTGGTGTGTTAGTGGTGGGTATTGTTTCCTTTAGGTGGTGTGTTAGTGGTGGGTATTGTTTTCTTTAGGTGGTGTGTTAGTGGTGGGTATTGTTTTCTTTAGGTGGTGTGTTAGTGGTGGGTATTGTTTTCTTTAGGTGGTGTGTTAGTGGTGGGTATTGTTTTCTTTAGGTGGTGTGTTAGTGGTGGGTATTGTTTTCTTTAGGTGGTGTGTTAGTGGTGGGTATTGTTTTCTTTAGGTGGTGTGTTAGTGGTGGGTATTGTTTTCTTTAGGTGGTGTGTTAGTGGTGGGTATTGTTTTCTTTAGGTGGTGTGTTAGTGGTGGGTATTGTTTTCTTTAGGTGGTGTGTTAGTGGTGGGTATTGTTTTCTTTAGGTGGTGTGTTAGTGGTGGGTATTGTTTTCCTTTAGGTGGTGTGTTAGTGGTGGGTATTGTTTTCTTTAGGTGGTGTGTTAGTGGGGGTATTGTTTTCTTTGTGTTAGTGGTGGGTATTGTTTTCTTTAGGTGGTGTGTTAGTGGTGGGTATTGTTTTCTTTAGGTGGTGTGTTAGTGGTGGGTATTGTTTCCTTTAGGTGGTGTGTTAGTGGTGGGTGTTTTCTTTAGGTGGCGTGTTAGTGGTGGGTATTGTTTTCTTTAGGTGGTGGGTATTGTTTTCCTTAGGTGGCGTGTTAGTGGTGGGTATTGTTTTCTTTAGGTGGTGTGTTAGTGGTGGGTATTGTTTTCTTTAGGTGGTGTGTTAGTGGTGGGTATTGTTTTCTTTAGGTGGTGTGTTAGTGGTGGGTATTGTTTTCTTTAGGTGGTGTGTTAGTGGTGGGTATTGTTTTCTTTAGGTGGTGTGTTAGTGGTGGGTATTGTTTTCTTTAGGTGGTGTGTTAGTGGTGGGTATTGTTTTCTTTAGGTGGTGTGTTAGTGGTGGGTATTGTTTTTTTAGGTGGTGTGTTAGTGGTGGGTATTGTTTTCTTTAGGTGGTGTGTTAGTGGTGGGTATTGTTTCTTTAGGTGGTGTGTTAGTGGTGGGTATTGTTTTCTTTAGGTGGTGTGTTAGTGGTGGGTATTGTTTTCTTTAGGTGGTGTTTGTTAGTGGTGTGGTAGTTGGGTATTTTTCTTTAGGTGGTGTGTTAGTGGTGGGTATTGTTTTCTTTAGTGGTGTGTGTTAGTGGTGGGTATTGTTTTCTTTAGGTGGTGTGTTAGTGGTGGGTATTGTTTTCTTTAGGTGGTGTGTTAGTGGTGGGTATTGTTTTCTTTAGGTGGTGTGTAGTGGTGGTATTGTTTTCTTTAGGTGGTGTTTAGTGGTTATTGTTTTGTTTAGGTGGTGTGTTAGTGGTGGGTATTGTTTTCTTTAGGTGGTGTGTTAGTGGTGTGTATTGTTTTCTTTAGGTGGTGTTAGTGGTGGTGTGTTTTAGGTGGTGTGTTAGTGGTGGGTATTGTTTTCTTTAGGTGGTGTGTTAGTGGTGGGTATTGTTTTCTTTAGGTGGTGTGTTAGTGGTGGGTATTTTGTTTTCTTTAGGTGGTGTGTTAGTGGTGGGTATTGTTTTCTTTAGGTTAGGTGTGTGTTAGTGGTGGGTATTGTTTTCTTTAGGTGGTGTGTTAGTGGTGGGTATTGTTTTCTTTAGGTGGTGTGTTAGTGGTGGGTATTGTTTTCTTTAGGTGGTGTGTTAGTGGTGGGTATTGTTTTCTTTAGGTGGTGTGTTAGTGGTGGGTATTGTTTTCTTTAGGTGGTGTGTTAGTGGTGGGTATTGTTTTCTTTAGGTGGTGTGTTAGTGGTGGGTATTGTTTTCTTTAGGTGGTGTGTTAGTGGTGGGTATTGTTTTTTTAGGTGGTGTGTTAGTGGTGGGTTTTGTTTTCTTTAGGTGGTGTGTTAGTGGTGGGTATTGTTTTCTTTAGGTGGTGTGTTAGTGGTGGGTATTGTTTTCTTTAGGTGGTGTGTTAGTGGTGGGTATTGTTTTCTTTAGGTGGTGTTGTTAGTGGTGTGGTAGTTGGGTATTGTTTTCTTTAGGTGGTGTGTTAGTGGTGGGTATTGTTTTCTTTAGGTGGTGTGTTAGTGGTGGGTATTGTTTTCTTTAGGTGGTGTGTTAGTGGTGGGTATTGTTTTCTTTAGGTGGTGTGTTAGTGGTGGGTATTGTTTTCTTTAGGTGGTGTGTTAGTGGTGGGTATTGTTTTCTTTAGGTGGTGTGTTGTGTGTATTGTTTTTGTGGTGGTGTAGTGTGGTTGTTTCCTTTTAGGTTTCTTTAGGTGGTGTGTTAGTGGTGGGTATTGTTTTCTTTAGGTGGTGTGTTGTGGTGGTTAGTAGGTGGTGGGTAGTGGTGGGTTTTTGTTTTCTTTAGGTGGTGTGTTAGTGGTGGGTATTGTTTTCTTTAGGTGGTGTGTTAGTGGTGGGTATTGTTTTTTGGTGTTTAGGTGGGTGTGTTAGTGGTGGGTATTGTTTTTTTTAGGTGGTGTGTTAGTGGTGTGTTTTGTTTTGTTTTAGGTGGTGTGTTAGTGGTGGGTATTGTTTTCTTTAGGTGGTGTGTTAGTGGTGGGTATTGTTTTCTTTTTGTGGTGTGTTAGTGGTGGGTATTGTTTTCTTTAGGTGGTGTGTTAGTGGTGGGTGTTGTTTTTTTAGGTGTGTGTGTTAGTGGTGGGTATTGTTTTTTTTAGGTGGTGTGTTAGTGGTGGGTATTGTTTTTCTTTAGGTGGTGTGTTAGTGGTGGGTATTGTTTTTTTAGGTGGTGTGTTAGTGGTGGGTATTGTTTTTTTTTTTGGTGGTGTTTAGTGGTGGGTTTTGTTTTTTGTTGTGTGTGTTAGTGGTGTTTTTTTCTTAGGTTTGTGTTAGTGGTGTATTGTTTTTTTTTGGTGTGTTTTTTTTTGTGGTTTTGTGTGTTGTTTTTGGGTTTTTTTTTTAGGTGGTGTTAGTGGTGGGTTTGTTTTTTTTGTGTGTGTTTTAGTGGTGTGTATTGTTTTTTAGGTGGTGTGTTAGTGGTGGGTTTTGTTTTCTTTAGGTGGTGTGTGTTAGTGGTGGGTATTGTTTTTTTTAGGTGGTGTGTTAGTGGTGGGTATTGTTTTTCTTTTGGTGTGTGTGTTAGTGGTGGGTTTGTTTTTTTAGGTGGTGTGTTGTGGTGGGTTTGTTTTTTTTTTGGTGTTGTGTTTGGTGGGTTTGTTTTTTTTAGGGGTGTGTTTGTTGTGTGTTGTTTTTTTGGGTTTTGTGTTTGTGTGTGTTTTTTTTTTGGGTTTGTGTTGGTGGTTTTTGTTTTTTTTTGTTGTGGTTGTGGGTTTTTTTTTTGGTGTGTTAGTGGTGGGTTTTGTTTTTTTAGGTGGTGTGTTAGTGTGTGGGTATTGTTTTTTTAGGTTTTGTGTTAGTGGTGGGTATTGTTTTTTTTAGGTGGTGTTTTTGTGGGTGTTTTTTTTTTTTTGGGTGTTTTGGTTTTTTTTTTCTTTAGGTGTGTGTTAGTGGTGGTTTTTTGTTTTTTTTTTTGTTGTTTTTTTTGGTTTGTTTTTTTTTAGGTGGTGTGTAGTGGTGGGTGTTTTTTTTTTTTTAGGTGTGTGTGTTAGTGGTGGGTTTTGTTTGTGTTTAGGTGGTTGTTTGTGTTGGGTTTTTTTTTTTTTTTGGTGTGTTAGTGGTGGGTTTATTTTTTTCCTTTTTTTGGTGTGTTAGTGGTGTTTGTGTTTTGTTTGGTGTTTAGGT